CATCGGATTCCCATACAAACACTGTAATTTCTGACCGCTTTGCCTACCCGTCAAGATGGCGTCGAAAACCCGGTGATTAGGCCTGTTATAGGTCTGTTACTCCTTAATTTTGGCGCGTTTAACTGGTGTCCTCCGTGAAGAGAAGTCGTCAGATACAGTGGACGACACACCTCTCTAATACGGACACCGAAGGGACAGAGCGAGGAGCGAAGTGTCCGTAATGGAGAGTTCACTATGATGACGTCACTTTTAAGTCTTCACTGAAAGTTTAGTGTTAAGAAACTAAAATCAGGCCCAAAAGTGAGTGTCTTGTAAATTTCTGAATCTAAATTGATTAACTTTCCATTTACTACCCATTTCCCCGAGAGTGCCGCTTAAAAATGGTTCGACAGTGAATAATGAATTGTCATGTAAAAAAGCATTATAATGAAAACAAAGCTCGTCTTTTTGGGGAGAAACTCCACGTGGTAATAGCTACCTTCTCGCCGGTATTCCCTTTAGGGCCTTGTAATCCACGCGGTCCTGTGGGCCCCTAAAATAAACACGAAGAAAAAAAGCTTGAAATATTAGTTTCACTTCTGAATGGCAGGAATGAATAATATCAAATATTATTATATGGCAAGATAGTCTTGAGATAAATCCGAGCGTTTGATTGGTTCTTTCTCGGTCGGGATTTTGCTATGTGTGTATTTTACCCCAAGTGCCATATAATAACCTACTTACTTAACCTAGCTTGCTCAAACCGTACTGGGGAATATTGGAACTTGGTCGTTTTCTGCTACGGCCTCAGGTCAATATTCCCCAAAACGGCCCTCGCGTTCGGTTAGTAAGAGGTTAGTATCAAGTCTACTTCCGAGTGGGTAGTCATACGAACATTAATGTTTTTGCTTTTTTTCCTTTTTTTCCTTTGGACGATGAAGGCCTTACAATTTTAACGGAATGTGGCCCCATTACTGACCGTTGGTAAGGTTAGAAAGACGTTAAATGCGACAGTGGAATGTTCTGCCAAAGGAAACAACATGGAGCAATAACCAGGGACTTTGATCATCATTTGTCCCTTCCCCTAGTGGAGAATTTGCCCGTAGGTTCCCTGCCTCCAGTCTTCTCTGTCCTTGCAGCCGAAGCTGCTTTTATGTAGGTAACATTTCGAACACTATTTGAAAGATCTCACTTTAATTCTTTTCTTTTAGTAACCCTGCGATTAAAATCTCAAGCATTCTCGCTAAAATTAATGTCAAACCTCGGAAAAGTGCCCAAAGCGTGTGTTATTTTGTTCTGAACTGACGTAAAAACGTCCGTAGTAATTAAAATACGGATAACTTCAAATTCAATTTTCTCTCCCAAGGTTAGCTGGAGAGCTAAAGTCTCGATAAGTTCTTCTTAACTGTATTCAAATTGTTGTCTACCATGCTATGAAATTTTTTGGTAACTTTATTTTGGCCTTTATTGCTCGAATGCTCACAAACAGTACGTACCGGAGCTCCAAGCTGTCCTGGGGTGCCTGGGGAGCCAGTGGCGCCGCGAGATCCCTGCAGGATGAACAACAGACAACTGAATTAGTAATCACACGTGATTCATTTGAGGTTAAGTGGCGTCAGTCTAGATTTACACCGATGCGGTGAGCTTTTGCCCTTGGTACAATTCAGTCGCTATAAACAAAATGCGTTTTACATGTACAACGATGATTTTAAAAGTGATTGAAAAACTGGGGAATAAATATCATCTTTGTCGCCTCTTGCAGTATTGCCGTGGTGAAAGGAAGGTATTTATTCACACATCAGTCGCTCCAAGGAAAAAAGAAAATGATCCAAATTGTTGCGAGGTCTTTATCATTACTTTGATTGCGAGGATCTAAATCCGGACTAGCTGCGAAACTAGCACAGTTCATTGGTCACGAGGAAAGCCATATTTCTGCAATCTTTGTTCCTGTGCT